TTTAGAATAAAAGGAGCAATTGTCTATTCAAAACTTAGAATAGTGTATTTTACTAAAATAGCCCTAATTGATAAAGAAAATCAATTTTACTTTTATTTTCTGTTGTCCACTGACAAAAAATAAATATTCTTTACACTTTTTTCTTGTAAAACAAATACTTATAACATACAATTTTCAAAATAATTTGGTCTTTGTTATTTGAATTTACCACCTTGTAGATTCATATCTTCTTCGCTATTTTCAGGTAATTGGTTTTGGAATCAATCCTGAACGAGGCTTGTTGATGGCACGTATCTCAGAGGATACTGGTGAAGAGAATCCCTTGCAGGTTTCATCTCAATTCTCGTTACTTTGACTGTACGTAGCTAATGTCAATAAATGTGATTTGATGCAGCTTTAAAGTTCTCTCTTAATGATTGTGCTAGGTACGAGTGAACAAACTTGCAGCTTTTATAGGCATTGTTGTAGCTACTTTTGTGCTTGGCGTCCTTTTGGGCCGGTAGGGTAAATTTTATTATTCAATTACGCATTGTAAAATTACTTGTGTACCAACTTACCAGCTACAATTTCAATAAATTTGTTAGATTCAATCCTGGAGATATGAAAAATCCAGATGGAAGTGTTCAGTTTATCAAAGGCGAGACATCGGTCCTTACTGTTGCAGTAAGTGAAGTCCCTGGATTTGTTTTATGTTTATGTTTTATGTATTTCCTGACTAAATGTATAACCATTCAGGTTAGAATTGTGGTTGTTGCTGTTCTTGTGGGACTTCTATTGGCTGTTATCTTGATGTAAGTAGAGGTCATCTCTATAATATTGTTGCATGCTGGTCTAGTGATCACTATCTCACTTCCATTTTCATCTTATTTTTGTACTCCATGGCTTTCCAGTGTGGCATATGCAGTGTGGAAAAAGATGGCAGCTAAAGCCTGGGCAAGTATCATCCTCAATTTTCCTTGAAGTCGTTTTCTTCTATAAATTCCTCTGATCTTTATCTAACAGCATAGATATTCAGGTTCGTAGGCTTTCAGCATGTGAAATTATGGGCTCTGCAAAAGCAATTTTCAGTGAAGTGACTGGAACATTGAGAAGGTATCAGGTGGGTTTCACAGTAGGGAGCATGGTTACTTACAGAAGCAAGCATGCCATGTTCTGTGCTTGAGTTTGCATGCTGATCTTGTGATTGACTGCACTTTTACCTTTCCGTATTATAGGCTGAAATAGGCATTTATATGGGCATTCAAGGGACTGAAGTTGGAAAAGAGAGCTCAGATGTTGTTATCTTGGATGATAATTTTTCTTCGGTTGTAGAGTTTAGCGAGTCCTTGACTTGTTTACACGAGAAAATTATTACTAGGGTTAAAATTCACAACCATTATGTGTTGTTTTTAATCAACAAGAAATATTAATGGCAAGTATTTCTCTTAAATGGACTTTTTCTTTATAATCCCTTAATTTTGTTTTTGTTTTTTGTTTTTTCATTTATTTATAAGTTGTTAGACCAAAATTTTGTAAACCACCTTCCAATTCAAATAATTTAATTTACATGTTGCACGAAATCATTTGTTAATTATAAGGCTTACTTGAATTTGTGATGACATGGCTCAACTACAAGGGCTTTGGAATTTTGTGGATGACTCATTTTCAACTGATCAAATCCTTCTAACCAACCTCCACATCCTATCTGGGTCCAAACCACCCACACCCGAATTCTCCTAATCCGAAACCCACCCTGAGCCGATAACCTGCAACCCGAGCAACCCAATGTTCCAGCCTGAAGCTCCACTTCCCGGAAAGGCATGTTTGCAATTACTCTTCCTTTTGGTTTCTTACTATCACGGAATATATTGCATGTTTGCAGAGCATCTAGACCTGTAGGCCTTCTTTTGCTTGTAATTAAGTTGCACTTGTACTCCCATGTCCTTCACATTAATGTGTTTCCATTAACTAGCTTTTATGCTATTTTAGCTTTATTGCTTTCATTTTCTTCATAATCATTGCCTTCTTCCATTTGAAATAGTTGTTAGTGGGCGATAGATGATAACGGTTTTTATAGCTCTGTTTCTACATTTATGTTTCATACCTTCCTGGAGTATCATTCAAGCAGTGTATGGTCCTAATATCCATTACATGTGGACCACCTAGGAAGAATCCTTCAATTGCATGGCAGCTTATTCTTAACCTGAATCTAATTCTAGGCTATGCATTGGCACAGGAGGGTTTGTACTTGGGGCCTTCCACTCGAATTACTGTACATACCTCAAATCGGAGCTCCAGTAGTGCCTCTAATGATGTTGCTATTATGGACAGTGCCCCTACGGCTCCAGAAGATGCCACGGCTGAAAACAGCAATTCATGTGATCAAGAAGGTAGTTCTAGAGCTAAAAAAGTTAGGAGAGCAGGTCGTCGTCGCAGTCGTGCAAAGGCTGCCATTCGTGAACAGGGAAAGGCAATACAGCCTACGCCTCTTTTGACTGGATTGCAAAATCATCCCTCCATTTACATTCGTCTAGGTCGGGTATGTTTTCTTTCTGTTCCTTTGTGTTTTCATTCTGAAGGGGTGACTTGCAAGATCCTATAGTTTATTTTTATTTTTTTTTCCTTTTTTGATAAACGAGGAGATTTTCGTTGATCAAAAAGAAACAAAACCTGAATCCATAACAAATACATCTCTTCTGCAGGTGCTCCATAGCTCATTGAAACTCCATATATAATCCAGCTGCCAATCACTCTGTACCCCAAACAATCTTAGAGCCAGTATGGGCAATTAATGTTTCTCCCCACATAAACCTGTCTAACTCTTGTAGACAATCTATTTAGAAAAGCAAGCCGTGAATTAAATGTTGCCTTCGAATATTTGAAGGACCCTAGACCAGTTTATGCCATGGAACTCTAGTTTCCTTGTTTTCAACAGCTTCGAAGCACTTCTAGCTGTAAATTTACCATTTGGACTGGTTTTCCATGTTACTTTATCATCAAAAACCATATAAAAAATAAGGACACCATAATAGAACCCTGCACTTCAAGCCTAGCATCTGATCTAGCATTGGGCCCAAATCAATTTTCATCTTCTATAGCAGTTTCCAACTTAGCAGCATCTATAGGAAGACTCATAGACATGCCTTGTGTCATGTGCTTTAGATAAAAAACTCAGCAGAATGCCAAAAGATCCCACCATAGTTCACTTGTTTTTGTGTTGCTAATGCTTTATCCTTAAATTTATCTCCTATATCTTGCAGCCACCTCCTATTCGTGGTCTTACACCTCAAAATGGTTGGAATCGGGCATTTGACATATGGTCTACTGCAGCGGAGGTTTACAAGGGGCTTTTGCGTGAAACTGGTTTTGGTGACTTCTTGAAGATACGACCCATTATGATTAACTTGCCGGGCTATATGTGTGCTTTAGCAGAACGATATTTCTCTGAGACTCATACATTGCATCTTGGTACTTTCGAAATTGGTCCTACACCTTTGGCCTGGGCTGTGATTACTGGCATTCGGTTTCGTGGTGATCCCCTTAACCCTCCAGACATTACACCTGCAGATTGTGCTAAGCTTCTTGGACTTGAGGGACCTACAGGGGTTATCTCCGAGGGCAAAGTTCAGCTAGATGCTTTGTGCCCTAGTACTCTGGACTTCAGTAAGGATCCAACTGACGATGATAGAGATTGGATGTTTAGAAGGCTGATTGTGTATCTTGTTGGTTCTTGTTTTTTCAGTGGGACTGATTTGATGGTTCCAATTCACTTAGTTTCTGCAATGAGCAATATTCAGAGAATCAGTCAGTATGACTGGGGAGCAGCTACCTTTTCTGCTTTCTTAAGGGGTATGAGGGTGAAAACATCTCAATGCAGTGGTTCCTTTTCGGGATTTTATCCTTTCTTGTTATTTTGGGCTTATGAGCATCTTCCCTGTATGCGACCAGTGACTGAATTGGGACTTGACACGTTTCCTCGAGCTTGTAGATGGGAGTCGACAGAGATAGAGGTTTCTGTCCTAAGTGACTTCATATGTTACAGGTTGGAGTTGGAGTATACTGAGGAAGATCAGGTCTTTATTTCCCTTCACCACCATTTGAATTTCAATGTTTTTCGCTTCTGCTTAAAATGCTTATACCTAAAGTCTTTTGGCAGGTTAACTTTAATCCTTATAGAGAAATTTTGAAGAAAGGATGGTTTCAGCATGAGGCGCTGATTTCCCAGAAAAGGATAGCTTTCCAAGGGTTGGACAGCTGGGAGGTGTACATGGGGGAGAGGAATCTTCGTCAATTTGTTCGGAAGATCCAAATTCCTCACCCTCCTCCAGCTCAACTATTTAGTGACAGGTCAGATGATGTCCAAAAAGTCCTTTCTCTGGAACTTCATAGTGGGGTCGATGCTCAGGATTTGGTAGAGGATGAGGGACGCGATTATGCTGATTGGTTTCGTACTCACTCATTGGGAAGGATAGTCCAATTGGAGCAGGTCCCTGGACGATTTACCCTGGGATACAAGTTTCTGGAGCCATTTTTCAAAGTCCATAGAGATGGGCACGTGATGATGACTCCACAGGATTTACAGTCTCTCAGAGATACGTCAGATAAGTGGGAAAAGGAATGTCAACGTCTTGAGACCACGCTAAAGACTTTCCAAGAAGAAAGCCGATGTTGGAAGGAGGAGGCTGAGGTGGTGGAAAGGAGAAGAAAATTCTGGGAGGACAAGTACAATGATGCCAAGACAAGAGCTGCAAATTTAGCGGCTCAAAGGATAGAATTTAGATAGTAATATTTTTACTTAATGGTATTACAAATATATTTATATGTAATAATTTGTTGTAGGCTCCTTTAAGCCTAACAGTACTTGTTTCTTCTTTTTCAATCGTAAGCCCAGTACATCTTGATCGTCAAAAGGTGGCATAGATGTAATAATCACAATCCATTTTCCTTATGTGCCCAAAAAGAAAAGTAAAAAAAGGCTCTATCTTGCCGAATTTTTGAACCGAGAATAACGAGGGAAAAAAATGGCTATCAAAAGTCAGAACGTAGCATTGATCTCCATATGCGTTGTCTAACTGTAACACTCTCCATTCAAGTAAAACTCCTATTTTTTTATTTTTTATTATACATTTACAAGTATTTAGGTATTTTCGAATTAGATTTTACATTAATAGAGATAAAGTTTATTATTTTTTTTGATTGGATCAAAATAAAACTCTTTATCAATAGCTATAAAACCATCATCTAATATAAAAAGATCTTGAGATACTATAACAATTAATAACTTTGATAAAGAAAAAATTAATTTTTTCTTCTATTTTTTGCTGTTTACTAACAAAAAATAAATATTTTTTACATGTTTTCTTCATACAAACAAATACTTTTAACATAAAATTTTCAAAGAATATTTTTTTTACACAAAATATTCATTCATCTTTAAAACTTAACACTATATATCAAAATTTTGGAAGTAAACTATTTCCATTGATATATTATTTTTTTATATTTTTAAAACTTAATCGTTAATTAATTTAATCATTTTTTTTAATTTACCACATTAATTTTTATAGATTTTTTTATTTTAAATTATAATTGGTTATATACAATGCAGAGTTAAATTTGATACCTAACACTTGAAAAAAGATATTTAAAAAAAATATATGAAAAAATGCTTAGAAAAGATATTTCTTAAAAAAAAAAAAAGAGAGAAAAAGCTGATATAATATAATAATTAATAACTTTTTAAAATTGTGTAGAAGTAAATATGACGGTATTTTGAGAAAGAATGAGTAATGATTGATATGTTAATTTTTTAGAACATTTTTTTCTTACTTCAAATTTACTAAAACCTAATAAATTATAACGCACATTACGTCAATATAAATATATGTCTGTGACATGCTTTTAAAATAGGTCGGTTTAACTTGGACCTTTCAAATTTCACATACTTCTGTCCATTGATTTAGAGATGAAAAAAAGAAAGCGCACCCAAAGACAGCTTGGAAAAGGAGTTTGCTTCTTCTACCCAAGACGTGCCGTTTAATTTCGTTTTCAACTTGCCAGTCCACAATCATGGTTGGGCTATAGTGAGGCAAATCTTTGCCAGTCCATAAGTATATCCTAACATGCTCTAAGCCTTTCTGTTAAGGATAAGCCCAATTATGATCTGGCCCAATAGTTAGCTTAAGAAGAAGCCCAATCAAAGTTTTTCCTTCTTCTTTTTTTGTCAATACTCTTTTAAGAATCACTGCTCAGATTCCCTTGATGTGTGAAATACAGAGCTTCTCTCCATTACGTGCTCTTGAGCTGGCTATCCTCGACGATGTAGCGAGCCTCTCTGGCTGTGTGCTTTAAGAGTACTAACAATGGATGAGTTGCAGCAATGCAAATAAAGCTACGCCTTTCAGATCATTTGGTTTCTTCCCTATGTTCTCAAGATTTGAGCCATAAAGTAGATTTAAAAATGATTCTATGCTAACCAGTACAAGAACATTCTCCCTTATCAGCTAAAGCAGAATGATTTAAAAATGACATTCCAAAATTCAAAAATCAAAATGATTTGATCTTTAGAGGTTACTGTTGTTTAGTTGTTTGAGGTGCCAGAGGAAATCTGAGATTTAAATTTTTATTCTGCTACAGAAACAATTAAGTGTCGATCTGTTATGATGTTGGATTATTCTTCAATTTTCTTTTGAGAATTTTACTCTACTTTGAAAATCGTTAGCAAGGTTTCCCATGATGCTGGGAAATTTTTATCCTTAATCTCCATATTTACCATTTTTGCATTAGAACTGTATGAACCAAAATTCCCAAAAAGAAAATAGATACATATACAAAAAGAAAAGAATCTAGACCGATAAAAAGTAATAAAAATATATATATTTTTTATTTTTATCTACTCCAATCAAAATAATAAAAATCCAAAATTTGTTGGAAATGTTGTCTTGAGGGTTCAATTTAGAATAATTAAAAAGACAGGGACTAAAAATAGAAACATATATAAAAGAATCAATTCCTGAACCCTTACACCACGAGCTTTACTTGAACGTTCCTAGCAGTGCTCATTGCTAGCCAACCCAGTCAGGCAGGCTCGCTCCATCCAATTCGGGTCAGAAGAAGAAACAATCATGAGTCAAGTGAAGTTTGACGATGACGAAGTTAAGTTTCAGTTAGATCTTGAGAGAGCCGCAAGGAAGTCTCTTGATAGTTATGAGCGAGGCAGGGTAATTATTTCTAAACTTGATACGAGGATCGCACTATCGCTGTCTGCGAGCAAGTCAAGAGGGAAATTTTGTCATGCACTTGAGGTCTCTGTCTTATTTCTTTGGTCAATGATTGATTATTTATTGTTTCAGGCTGCATTACTCTTTCTCTTGGGGTCTTCCACTCAAATTACTGAACCTACATCAAATTGCAGCTCCACTTGTGACTTTAATCATGTTGGTATTAAGGACAGTGTCCCTAAGGCTCCAGAAGATGCCGAGGATGAAAACAGCGATTCATGTGAGCAGGAGGGTTATTGTGGAGCTAAAAGAGTTAGTAGAGCAGGTGGTCGTCGCAGTCGTGCGAAAGCTGCCAATCGTAAACAGAGAAAGCCAATACAACCTACTAAGGAGTTTGACAAGGACGATGATCTTAATAATCGTCATTTCGTTGATGAATCTCATCCTTTCGACATTGCTAGCACCAAGAACATTCCACCGGAGAGACTTGCGCGATGGAGGGTAATTATTTCTAGAGTTGACGCTGAATTACCTACCACTGTTCAATTCGGTTTTTGCAATATTACATCTTAGGTGCATTGTGGGTTTTTACACTACTGATGTTGCTATGAAGGCTTGTGGAGCTAAAAGAAGTAGGAGAGCAGGTGGTCGTCGCGGTGTGCAGAGGCTGCCATTTATGAACAGGGAAAAGCCATACAACCTACGCCTCTTTTGACTGGATTGCGAAATCATCCCTCCATTTACATTCATCTTGGTCGGGTATATTTTCATTCAGTCATTTGCGAGATCCTATAGCTTTATCTTTATCTTTTTCCTTTTTTTTGGGATAAATGAGGAGATTTTCATTGACCAAAATGAAGCAAAGTATGAATCCATAACAAATACATGAAATAGATTAAGCCAACATCCATTGGTTACAAATAGTATAAAACTTAGGACTAGGATCTGGTTCTGCTTGTAGCTTAGATTTATATAGTGTGTAGCGAACAACCTGACAAATCCACTTAAACAAATCATAAGGAGAAGAACCTGGCAATGACAGATTGAAAACATCTCTTCTGCAGGAGCTCTGTAGCCCATTGAAACTCCATATTCCAGCTGGGAATCACTCTATCAAACCACATTTGAGCTTAATAGTACCCTAAACAATCTTGGAGCCAATGTGGCCAATTAATGTTTCTCCCCATACAAACCCGTTTAACTCTTGTATAAAATCTAGCCATGAAATTAAAGACTAATTTATGCCATCCAACACTAGTTCCTTTGTTTCTCAACAGCTCTGAAGCACTTCTAGCAGTAAATTCGCCATTTGGACTGGTTTTCCATGTTACTTTGTCATTAGAAACCATATCAAAATTAAGGACACCACAATAAAACCCTGCAATTCAAGCATAGCATCTGATCTAGCATTGGGCCAAAACCAATTTCCATTTTCTATAAAAACTTCCAACTTAGCATCTGCAGGAATACCAGAAACGAAAACAAGCCTTGTACCATTTACTTTTGACAAAACCCCAGCTGAATGCCAAAAGATCCCACCATAGTTCACTTGTTTTTGTGTTGCCAACGCTTTATCCTTAATATCATCTCCTATATCTTGCAGCCACCTCCTCACCGTGATCTTACACCTCAAAATGTTTGGAATCAGGCATTTGACATATGGTATGCTGCAGCGGAGGTTTACAAGGGGCTTTTGCGTGAAGCTGGTTTTGGTGACTTCTTGAAGATTCGACCCATTATGATTAACTTGCCAGGCTACATGTGTGCTTTAGCATAACGATATTTCTTTGAGACTTATATATTACATCTTGGTACTTTCGAAATTGGTCCAACACCTTTAGCTCTGGACTATCATTACCGGCATTTGGTTTGGTGGTGATTCCCTTAACCCCTCGGACATCACACCTAAAGATTGTGCTAAGCTTCTTGGACTTAAGAGCACTCGAAGGGGTTTTTTCCGAGCGAGGGCCGAACACAAGATCAAATATCTACGAGTGCAAAATAATTGTTTATAAATTTATCATGGTTTATACAAACTTTTATATATTATAAATAACATATCAATATATATTTTAAAATAGTCTCAAAATACAATTAATCAAAATAGAGATCTTCGTTCTTTTAAGTCACGAAAATAATCTATAAACAAATTTATATTAAAATTTTCAGTAATTTTTTTTTCAATATACACTATCAAATAATTGAAAAGAAAATCATCTTTCATCTTATTACAAAACTATGCTCATAATCGAAAATAATTGCTCCATGATAGCCGTAGAAACCGAAAGAGTAAGAATAAGTATTATCACTCTATACACAAGTGGATAACTTTCAAATTTTCTTATTTTCATAACACATTGATACAAATAAGATATAGTAGCAATAGTAATCTTGAGTAAATTATAAGTTAGTCCATCTAGTTTTTTTTTAATGGATTAATTAGTTCTTCTTGTTCCAAAAATAAATTATTTAGTTCTTGTGTATTTTATAATTCCTTTACATTCTCAATATAAAAAAATGTCATTTTTTAGTAATGCTTTTTTTCTCTTAAAATAACTATTAAAAATTACATTTTATGTTCCGAAACATTTTGAGCAAAGCAAGAAATTATTCAAACTCATTCATGAAAATAATCAAGCTTTAAAATGGCAATCAAACTAATTATATTCTTAACAATCGAGTCTAAATGAGTATTTCATTGAGTTGGTCCGAGATTCAGCTCCACTAGTTCTAATTTTTTCGGACTATAAAAATTAGCAATTAAGTTTTGAACCGACTTCGTGGTGGATTATTTCGATGGGAGATACGTAGGATATAATGGCAATTCTCTTACAACTTGGGCTTCATGCCCTTGAGCCATTTTAGTTATGATATATTCGTTTTGTTTAATCAATGAAGTTTAATGCCTTAGGTAATGAAATCATTAAAATTAATGATAATAAGATAACGAAACGTTTAATTTCTAATAAAAAATAATTAGAAAAAATTACAATCTAAATTAAAAAATTGAGAATTGATAACTAATTTTTAAATAAATTAAATTTTAACAAAGATTTCAACCGTTAAATAATATGAACAACCAATATGATTCAGCTAGCAATGCACTCAAATTATTTTTAAGGCCAATCCAAAACGGCAAAAATCGTAAGGGGGCCAGGGCCCCTGTAGGGTTCAACCTGGGTCCGCCCCTGTCTCCGAGGGTAAATTTAAATTAGATGCTTTGTACCTTAGTACTTTGGACTTTATTAAGAATCCAGCTGAAGATGACTTAGATTGGATGTTTAGAAAGCTGATTGTGTATCTCGTTGGTTCTTAGCTATCTCGAAGGAAGTTTACAATCCTACCCCAAGTCTTTTGTCTTTTCTGCTGTGGTTTGGGTTTGGTGAATAAGAAAGAAGCGAAAATGACGAAAACGGGGCGAGAGCATTTGGTAAAATTCACCTACCTAGCATTTGGTCAAGGTAAGTATTGTTCGCGTCGAATGTGCGTTGTGGGCGTCTATAAATATAAAGTCTAAGTTTGATGACAGCAGTCCTCTCTCGCTTTCTCTCTCTCGCTTACTGTCTCAGACTCTCAGTCCTTCCTCTCTCTCGCTTACTGTCTGGCCACTAGCCCTCTTGAATCTCCCTTTCTTGTTCAAGGTAAGGATTGAAATCTAAGTTTGATGTTTACTGGTGTGGGTTTGAATGTTTTGGGTGCTCTGATTTTGGATCCGATTAATATTTTGCTTCTTGGAATTCAATGTTGGGTATATATGTATATATAAACAAAAAACACTAATTGAAATCCCCTTTCCCCTTCCTCAGTTCTCCATCTCTCTCGCTTACTCGCCGGCCATCAGTCCTCTTCCATCTCCCTTCCTTGTTCAAGGTAAGGATTGAAATCTAAGATTGATTTTTTCTGATGTGGGTTTGAATGTTTTCGTTGCTTTGATTTTGGATCTGATGAATATTTTGTTTATTGGAATTCAATGTTGGGTTGCATACTAAATCCCTGCTTGCTCAATTTTAAACATTTGAATTCCTTGAATCTGAGCAACAATATCTTAAAAGCAAGATAGTTAAATATTTTTTTAGGGTCAACTGCCCATACAAAGTACTTGAAATAACGTTAAGGTCTAATGTAGTGATTTCATTGGAATTTGAATCTGATAGTAGCAGCTTGAATATGTTGTAAAGTATTTCCAATTATTTAAAGGCATCATGACTATTATTTGTATAATATATTTTATATTATTGTTTAGTAGGTTGGCTATGGGTTTAGCAGTTGTGGAGACTGCCCTGTTGTTAAATTAACTTCAACCTGTCTCCTTGATGTATTGAAGCAGATGCAAAGTCCATATTCATTTGATAGATTAGAATGTGATTAGGCAAAGTTCATGGCTTTGGTGAATCCATATTTTGCAATCTTAGGAAATTTCCTTTTCTGCCCCATAGTTATGAAAATGGGAGCTCCTTTTTTATACTTTAATCTGTTCATTTGTGTAGTTGATGTTTTAGAATTTGTAAGGATCGGCAGCCTGACTAGGTCATGTATGTAGTTTTTCTTTTCTGAATTCAAGGATGTAGAAAAATTGACGTTTATCAGGTTTCTTACAGCTTTTCGGCTCATTGCCCTGAAGAAAATAGAAGGGGAAAAAAAAAAAACAAAGCTCAATCATGGATTCTGCTCAGAAATCTGATGCCCCTGATCACTTTCCTGGTAGTGTTGCAATTCAAATTAATGGTCTACAGGGGGGTCAAGCAGGAGACTCTCAAACACGAACTGATCTTCAAAATGCTTCAGGGATGCCAAATATGCGCCCTGGAGTTGAAGAGCCAGCTTCAGCGACCGGTCAGACATCCCTTGACATTGGACCAGCTCCAGAACCTAACAATGATCAGGTGGGAATCCCTACTCAGAGGGAGGGGCAAGGGCAAATCTACCAACCAAATCCAACAGGGTCACTCCTTGAGCTCATGGCTGAAATAATTGTCTCTTTGGTGGAGATTTTTAGCAAAGGCAAAGATCCTCCGTCCCGCAATGCAAAAATCCTGAGTTACTTTGCCGTAGTAAGTAATATCATCGGCTATATTTCTTTCTTTACTCGTATGTTGATGCATGGACGCCAAGAAGGACTTACTACACGAATTGTGACTGCGATTGGATATGCTGGGGTGGCTTTTGGGTTCATTGCACTCTTGGCCATGCGGCTGCCAGACAGCATCAATCTGTGGATTGCATTAGGGGCTTGTGCATTATGCTTGTCTGCTTTAGCTGCGGCAATCAAGGGATGCTTCAATCTCCCTGGATATAGAGTGCAGAATTCTTGATGAGCAATGTGTATACTAGGTTAGATTTTTTGTTTTCTAATTCTTCATGATTGGTAGACATAGTGCCATGGAAAATGTACATTGAGCTTCTCTCGGCAGCGTGCTCTTCTTAGCAACTCGATTCTGTTGCTTGGATCTTGTTGTAATCTCAGAAATGAGCTCCCCTGATTTGATGCTCCACGTGCTGGTTGGACTTGGGCCTTGGTTTAGTCACCTGCCAAATCATGGACACATACTGTTGATATATGTAAGATTGAGCTTCCCTCGATTTAGGCCGCTCTTCGTGCAAGATGGATCGTTGCTGCTTTGGATCCAGAAGCATGTAAAATTGAGCTCTCCTCAACTGTTTGCTCTGTGTGTCAAATGGTATTGTGTCTGCTGGTTTGGCCAGTGTAATGATTAGTTATTTGTGTGGATTATAGAAGCATAGATAGAAGGTTTGGGCAAGCAAATTGTTCAGATTTTGACACTCTCCAGTGTATAGGCGAGCTCCCCCGGCTGCTTACTACGTGCAATATACCAAGAAGGATTCCATTGATGCGTGCAATACAGAGCTTCTCTTCGGCTGTTTGCTTTTCTCCGGAATGAGCTTCCCCGAATCTGTGCTCCGTGTGCCCAATACTGGACTTCCATATTTGGTTTATCACCTGCCAAATCACTTATGAGGTTCCATTGATGCGTGCAATACAGAGTTTCTCTTCGGCTGTTTGCTTTTCTAAGGAATGAGCTTCCCCGAATCTGTGCTCCGTGTGCCCAATACTGGACTTCCATATTTGGTTTATCGCCTGCCAAATCACTTATGAGGTTCCATTGATGCGTGCAATACAGAGCTTCTCTCGATTGCGAGCTCTTCAGCCCTCCTCAAGTGTGTGCTCGGCATGTTAATTGGATTCTATCTGTAGATTTGGTCGGTGTATGTAGTGAGCCTCTGGCTGTGTGCTTTATGAGTACTAACAATGGATGAGTTGCAAAAACAATGGCAATGCTAATAAAGCTACGCCTTTGAGATCATTCGGTTTCTTCTCTATTTATTCAAAGTTTTTAGCCGTAAAGTAGATATATCAAAATTCCCGACAGCATAAACATGATACAATGCTAACCAGTACAAGAACCTTCTTCCTCGTGAGCTAAAGCAAAGTGATCTAAATATGGCATTTTAAAATCCAAAAGTCTGAATGATCAGTTATTTCCAACAAATTGCTATTTGTGTTTTGTAACTTTGCAAAACCCTTCACGAACATGTTGGTCATTTCTAGCAATCCACATAGAACTAAAATCATTTGCTTGTTTTGCACTCTTCTAGCCATCCCTTTGACCTTAGCAAACAATGTCACTGCTTAAGGAGAAATACCACATGCTAATATGCCTTGATTTTGCAAAGAACTAAAATCTTCCCCTCTTCAGGTCCTTCAAAAATTCACTGATGTTTCAAACTAGACTTATTGTTCTGCCCTGGCCCATGGTCCTAACTCTTATCTGTCTTTTAATTTGGGCTTTGTTTCATGCGGAATCAATTTGTAGTTATGGCCCATATTTTTTTATAAGCTCATGTTAAGTTGGTTTAGGGTTTTCTTAATTTAATAGTATGTTAAATCTTGATCGTTAATTTAATATTTAATGGACGTATAAGATTTAATGTTAACAGATATATAAACTAAGTACTCTCTCTACTCTAAAAAGATATACAGATAAACTATAAAAAAAATATAAAACGCACGTATTTAGTTATTTATCAATGCCACCTGTTACATAAAAAAGGTTAAGCGAGAGAAAGCTAATTTATAAGGTCCTGCGATATAAAAGAAGGTTAAGCGAGAGAAACTAATTTATAAGATTCGTGATTGTTAAAAACTCTTTTTACATCATGTTAAATTCCGCTCAATGTAAATAATTTATTCGCTTCATCTATGTGATTATTATTATATTCAAGATCCTGAATGGGTACGGATGATTTATGTCTTTATGATTGCATGGTATGATTTATGTTTTGATGTTTAAGCATACGAGGTTTACAGGGGAGACTGGGCACATGGAGTCTTCCACTCAAATTACTGAACCTGCCTCAAATTGCAGCTCCTCTAGGGACTCTAACGATGGTGCGCGATGGAGGGTAATTATTTCTAGAGTTGATGCTGAATGACCTTACATTGTTCATTTCAGTTTTTGCAATATTACATCCTAAGTGCATTGTGGGTTTTTACATACTGTTATTTCGATTTTCATTTTCTAGGTTTTTTTTTTTAAAAAAAAAAACTTTTTCTGGTTGCATTTAGAGGTGTTTTTGGCTTTCATAGAAAGCAATGCTCGAGGTAAATGCTTCACGGAGGTTTCGGTACTCCTTGGACTTGAAAAGAAGAGAAGAAAAGGAACGGCAAATCAGTACGTCACGCTCTAATACTTTTATAACAATCTTCTTTTACAGCTAATAATCTGACTTTGATGTAGAGAAATGAGTGTATATGTGGAGGTTTTGAACTTGATTTGTTTAGGGCCTCTTTAACCCTTTTCTCAGACATAGGATTTCTTGACAAAGGAAGCGGCACATTAAGGAAGACATACCCATAAAAGTCAAAGTCAAAATGGTTCACTAGTTACTGTGATTGCAAGTGTTGGCAGTGAAGAAAAAATATGCCCAGAAAGAAGCTTAAATCAGAATATTATGATGGATATATCTGAAGATGTGTTAGGACTGAGTATTTGAGTGTAGGAGGGAATAGTTTGGCCAAAATGGGTTTGGATTGAAGTAGTGAAGAAAGGAATTATTATCACAATCTTTCAAATAAAATTTGGAGTTAAATATAATATCATGGGGGAAATTTTTTTGTGAGTACATATTGTAATCTGCTGTTTTGGAGTTCTTGGGCTGCATTTTTTCCACTTAAATAGATTATCTGTGTTAACTTATTTTCTGCTTCTCAAGTGTTGGATTCCTCAGCTACACCTCCAACTGCAACTGATGATTATTCAATTGGACCAGAGCAACTTGCTTCAATTACCAGGGATCGTCATTTTTCTTCTCTGCAACTGTGTGGCAGTGTATGTCAATTGCAATCGTGCTTTCCTTATTTTACACCATTTTACTATCTAAACTTGTTTACATTGTGTGTTATCTCTTCCTTGATCAGGTCAAAGGGTTGTCAAATATGCTGAAAACCAATCTTGCAACTGGTATTACTGGAGATGAGAATGATTTGAAGAAACGTAGGAATTCATTTGGAACAAATAGATATCCTCAGAAAAAAGGACGGAGTTTTTTGGTATAATATGTGGTTTTGAATTGTTATTTTCTTTTTTCTTTCTTTTTAGAATTACAAACATTTTGCTTACCATGCACTTTATATTGCAGAGGTTCCTCTTGGAAGCTTGGCAAGATTCAACCCTCATTATCTTGATTGTAGCTGCCTTAGCATCATTGGGATTGGGAATCAAGACAGAGGTGTGCTTGGTTCTTATTCTGTTTATTGTGTTTTAGGTTGACTAAGTTAAAGATATGAGTTCTATATTATGAGTATTTGCACAGTGCATTATACCTTCCCCTCTTTAGACTGACATGTTGTTCACACTTCTTGTTCCTTATAGGGTTTGTCACATGGATGGTATGATGGGGCGAGCATCTCTTTTGCTGTTATTCTTGTCATAGTTGTTACAGGTATTAAATTATTCCAAATGCAAGGTCCATGCAGCTGCTAGCAGAAGGTAGCAATTTAGGAAAGTTTGACTGCTTATGATTACAAGTTTTAGAAAGTTGGCATCCAGAGGATTATATAGCTGTTGAATGACTATGTTAAAGATTTCATATTTTGTTTACTTTCACCCCTCAGATCGAAATGAATTGTAAATGATGTTGCTATTATTTTGTACCTTTCTTCACTATTGAATTGCTTTGTTCATCATATGTAGAAAAAGTTCTATTGTACCCATTCATTCAACTCTATGGCTGTCTTATCCAAGCAGTGATTTTTTTTTTCTAACTATTAGTTTTCTCTGTATTACTAGCTGTTAGCGATTACTGTCAATCTCTGCAGTTTCAAAATTTAAATCAGGAAAAGCAAAACATACAGTTGGAGGTATATATTAATTTCATATGAAATTATATCATTGCTTATTTTTACATCTTCCAGTGTCTGGTATTTAAAGAAACAGAAACATCTGAAACCTGTGCAGGTCACGAGAGGCGGTAGAACGATGAAAATTTCAATATTTGATATTGTTGTTGGTGATGTTGTACCTCTTGGAATAGGTGATCAGGTGAGGTTTATTTCTGAAGAATTTAATATTACTATGCATTTAAATCACTTAAATTAACTATAAAAATATTGAGGTGTTCCACTCAGGTTCCAGCTGACGGAATCTTGATTTCCGGCCATTCTCTTGCCATAGATGAATCTAGCATGACGGGTGAAAGCAAGATTGTGAGTTGGCTAATAACCTAGTTCTTTAAGTTCTTGACTGTTGAAATATATCATTTTGAAGTCTTCTATTTTAGGTTCACAAGGATCAAAAGGCTCCCTTTTTGATGTCTGGTTGTAAAGTAGCAGATGGTATCGGCACTATGCTGGTAAAAAGTGCAGTTTTACATTCCGTTCTGTCTTTGTTATGATCATGATGATTGTCAGTTATTTTTATAAAGCACGTTTACTTTTCCTTTATATGTTGTTCATGGTAATTAGCAGCAGCATTTCCTGTTGTCTTCAAAATAATCTGGTATTTGTTACTTGAATTTACCAGCTTGTAGATTCATTTCTTCTTGGCCATTTACAGGTAACTGGTGTTGGAATAAATACTGAATGGGGATTGTTGATGGCAAGTATTTCAGAGGATACTGGTGAAGAGACTCCCTTGCAGGTTTCGTCTCAATTCTCGTTACTTCAACTGTAGCTAATGTCAACAAATGTGATTTGATCCAGCTTTAAAGTTATTTCTTAATGACTGTGTTAGGTACTATCGAATGGACTTGCAACTTTTATAGGCATTGTAGGGCTTGTGGTAGCACTTTCTGT